AGTCTCATTATGTCACCCTCGGTAGAGTGCCAGGGCATCACAGCTCACAGCAACCTCAAACTCTTGGGCTTAAGTGATTCTCTTTCTTCAGTCTCCCAAGTAGCTAGAACTTCAGGCATACAGTTAGAGTATATTGAACAAAGCAATATATGTACACATGAAAGAAAGCATAATAGGCAATTTACTGATACATAATGAAATTTGCTTTAAACATGCTTGTTTTTAATTTTACAGTCACTTAGGAATCTTCTTAAACCTAGAAATGAGACAAGAAAATTAATTTTATTACAAATTGCTTTAAACACATTTGTGGGAATATAGGTGAGTTACAGAGAAAATAAAAGTGCCCCAAGAACTCAGAGGATAAACAAGTGAAACAAACATGTAATTCATATTTATAAAAGTTACATAAAAGAGGGAGAGTATCTCCCAAGATCAAAATCAGGAAGAATAGGGCTTGGCAATAAGTTGTTACTTATGAGACAATGTTCTTTTTTTTTAGAGACATGAGTTTTACTTTGTCACCCTTGGTAGAGTGCCATGGCACCACAGCAACCTCCAGCTCTTAGGCTTAGGCGATTCTCCAGCCTCAGCCTCCCGAGTAGCTAGGACTACAGGTGTCCGACACAACGCCCAACTTTTTTTGTTGTTGTTGTTGCAGTTTGGCTGGGGCAGGGTTTGAACCTGCCACCCTCGGTATATGGGGCCAGTGCCCTACTCACTGAGCCACAGGCACTGCCCTCTTTTTTTTTTCTTTAAGAGACACTTTGGGCTTACTTTGTCACCCTTGGTAGAGTGCCGTGGCATCACAGCTCACAACAACCTCCAGCTCTTGGGCTTAGGCGATTCCCTTGCCTCAGCCTCCCAAGTAGTTGGGACCACAGGCAACTGCCACAACGCCCAGCTATTTTTTGTTGCAGTTTGGCTGGGGTCGGATTTGAACCCACCACCCTCATTATATGGGGCCGGCACCCTACTCACTGAGCCACAGTTGCTGCCCATGAGACAATATTCTTATACCTAAAGTTAGAATATGGCTTATATACATATGTATATATATATATTTTTTTTTTTTTTGAGACA